TCATTAGCAATTATTAATATCACAGGAGTCTTATCCCTAAAATATTTGATTATAATAAATGCATACCCTTATATTGAAACTTAAGGTAAGGTGTTACATTGTAAGTGTATAGAAGGTCTGACATTTGGATAAATTTAAAAATACTGTTATTCTTAATATAAGTTACTTGAAGTTATAAGTTAAAATGGTAATGTAAGTTCACAGTTGCATTACATATGTATATAGTGAGCATTACATTACTAAACTCAAATTTGCTAACACAGTAAAATATCTTGTACCAACTTGCTCAACAAGATCTTTTCGTTGTTCTTTCAGCAGATATTTATTGAATGAAACTGCGTTTTTGGCTGGATGTTGTTTTTGAAAAAAATGTAAGATGGATAAAACCAAACCCATTGCTGTTGAGTCGATTCCGACTTATAGCGACCCTATAGGACAGAGCAGAACTGCCCCATAGGGGTTTCAAAGAGCGGCAACATTTTGGTTGGCAGCCGAATACTTACACTCTGTGCCACGAGCACTCCAAGATGGATAAAGGAAAAGGGGAATTCAAATTTATTTTTAAATGTTTATCTAAATTAAGAAATGCATTCACATGTTTTAATTTTTAAAAGTATAAGTCCCTATATATAACTTTGAAACTACAGCAAAAACAACCAAAAATATGTGTAAGTATATATGTAGACATATATGTGTATAGGTATCTTGTGTGTATATATAGCTGTACACATATTTATATGTATATGCATCTATGTGACTGTATGCACATATATTCATATCTATAATAAGGCATGTATGGAGCACAGTTACTGATACTGCTTAGACATAACCAGACACCTCGCAGGATTGGATTTCTGGGTTTTAAGGATTAGGACCATAGTCTTGTGGGACATCTTGGTCAGTTGGCATATGGTTCATAGAGTTATGTTCTACATCCTAGTTTGATGAGTAGTATGTACGGTCTTAAAAGCTTGAGAGCAGCCATTTAAGATGCAATCACCAGTATCTACTTTTCCGGAGCAAAAGAGAAAGAAGTAAACCAATGACCCCAGAAAAAACTATTTTACAGGACAAATAGCCTGCACAAACCACGGCCTCATCTACCCTGAGACCAAGAGAACTAGATGGTGCCTGGCTACCACTTCCAGTCATTCTAATCAGGCCCACAATAGATGGATCCTGGTAGAAAGAGAGAGAAATGTGAAACAGCCAATTCCTTAAAAAACAAAAAAACGAACAGACCTACTGGACTAGTTGAGAATGGAGGACTCCCCTATACGATTGCCCTGAGATATTCTTCATACACTGAACTGAAACGAACTCCTGAGGTCACCTTGTAGCTTAGTAACAAATAGGCTCAAAAAGTAATGAATATCACCCATAAATACTGTGCTCCTTTAAAAAATCGCCTATATGAGACCAAACAGTCAACAATTACTTTAAAACAAAGATGAGAATATAAGGGGGCAGGGAAACTAGATTGATGGCAATGAAACAACAGAACGGAAATAATGAGAACGTTCGCGCATTGTGAAGAATGTAACCAATGTCATCGAACAACTTGTGTAAAAATAGTTGAATAGGAACCTAAACTACTGTATAAACCTTCACCAACAACATAATAAAATATTATTTTAAAAAAGTTTACGTGTATACGCAGTGAAAAGTTTCCTACCACTGTATTTCCCACTACCCAGTTCCTGTTAAAGAGGTGATGATGTTTCAGTCTCTTATGTATATTTCCAGAAATATTTGAGATGTATATAAGTAAATGAATTTTTTCTCCCTTTTTATACAAATGGAAGCATAGCAAACAAACTTTTCTGCTTCTTGCTGATTTTCACCGAAAGCTGTATTTTGAATATAGCTCTATATGAGTTGGTACTGAGTCTCTTCAATTCATTAATTATTCATATAGCTCATTTGGGTGGATATATCTAATTAATACCACCAGACCACTGCTGATGGACAGTTTGGTTGTTAACAAACTTTCTATTACAGAAAAATTGTCATTTTCCTAAGTGCATTTGCTAGATGAAATGGTAGATACATTTGTAACTAATTTGCAAAGGATTTTATTGTTTTGGATTTATTTTGAATATTGATACATTTATATAGCATACAATTTAAAAAAGAAACAAAAAACGGATGGTAAAAATAAGACTCCTACACTCCACTTTTCCCCAGATGTGATGTTCCCCTAAAGGTAATTAATTAGTCTGATCAGTTTTGTATTTATCCTTCCAGAAAGATACCAAAACCAAAACCAAACGTGTTGCCATTGAGTTGACTCTAATTCATGGTGATTCCATGTGTTACAGAGTAGACTGAGCTCCATATGGTTTTCTTGGCTGTAATCTTTTCTTAGGGAATCAGATCACCAGGCATTTCTTCCTTGGTACAGCTGGATGGGTTCAAACTGCCAATCTCTCAGTTAGCAGCCGAGTGCCCACCATTTGCCGCCGCCTTCCAACGGACCTTCCAGAGAGATGACTGTTCCATATATGTTGTTGTTGTGTGCTTTACAGTCCTTTCCAACTCTTAGCACCTCATGTGACAGAGTAGGATTGCCCCATAGGGTTTCCAAGCTGTAGTTTTTACAGGAGCAATTCGCCAGGTCTTTTCTCCTGTGGAGCTGCTGATAGGTTCAAACTGCCGACTTTTCAGTTAGCAGCTGAGGGCTTAATCATTGCACCACCAGGGTCCCTTGGTGTGTGTATGAGCATGTGTATATATGTGTAGAATTCTTCTTGCTCTGGGAGATCTTTGTTTTCTTCTGCAGAGTAGTATATGGGTTCGTTTACACAGAGAATCCAGACTAGTTGGTAAATATTCATATTTGGAGCACACTATTTATTGCCTCATCACTCATCTTCAGCCACTATGAATCTTATTTGTAAAAGTGATGTTTTCTCTGCACTCACTATAGCTTGTTGTTTTCCCTGGATGAAAAGACAGCAGCATACTCTGTCCATTTCTCTGTGACTGTCCAAGGAATCTTCAAACCTGCTACCCTCTGCCTCTACCCTTGGTACGCAACCGCCATTCAGGGATTTTCTTTTACCATCTTCCTAGGAATTCCGTGTACCTCTCCCTGAAATCTCTCATTTCCTGTGACTTAGCCCCCACTCTTTCTTGGATTTGTCTCTGGTGTATCACATCTTCCAGTAGCTTCCTGGGAGAAGGTTATGTGAGTGGTTAATTTTTTTGGATTTCATATGTTTAAAATTTTCTTTAGCTTACTCTCCCATCTGATTTTTCTGGGTATAGAATTTTCAGTGGCTATTACAAGTAATTTCTGCATTGTCTTTCTGCCTTTCAAGCTTGCTGTTGAAAAATCTGAAGGTATTCCGATTCTCTATTTTTGTATACAACAATATGTGTAACCCTCCTCCATGGAAAATTGTAGGCTCTTCTTTTATGTCTCTACTGTTCTTAAATGTCCAATAAGTTGCTAGTGTGGGTCATCCATTTACTGAGTATTAGGAGGACCCTTGTACATTGGAATATTATTTACTTTTAGGGTTTGGATATTGTCTTGAATTATATTATATCACAGTATATTATATCATGGTATATTATATTGTGTAATATGTATTATAATAAAATATATAATATTGAATACAGTTTTATATTAAATATAATGTTATACTATGATAGCATTGGGCAAATTATTATTTTTAACAAAATGAACAAGAAGAGCATTAGTGAGGAAAATTTGTCAGTTGAGGAAATTGTACATTTGCAGCATGCTCAGAAGTTAGGTCTGGAGTAACATGGTCCATTAAACAATGTAAGTAAGTGTTTTTTATATTTTCAAAGTATTTTGAGAGTAAATTACACAGTTTGGTGTACCATGTGTTAACACTCAAACCTGTTGCCATTGAGTTGATTGACTCATGGTAATCCTATTTGTGTCAGAGTTAGCGTTTTCAATGGCTGTGACCTTTTGGAAGTAGACTTCCAGGTCTTTTTTCCATGGCACCTCTGAGTGGATTCAAACCTGCAGCTTTTTGGTTAGTAGCCAAGCACTTAACCATTTGTACCACCCAGGGAGTCCTATATTAACACTATGCTTTGTTAAATTATGCACTTATCGGACCCTTGTGGCATACCAGTTAAGTGTTTATCTGCTAACCAAAAAGACAACAGTTCGAATCCACCAGCTGCCCCTTGGAAACCCTATGGGCAGTTCTGTTCTGCCCTATAGGTTGCTATGAGTCAGAATCGACTCAATAGCAATGGGTTTTTTGGTGTATATATATATATATGTATATATATGTACACACATGCATATATATGCACACACAGCTACCTTTATTGTGCAGAATATTTTAAACAATTCTTTTTAAAAAAGAGGAAGGTAATTTAGTCTTTAAATGTCAAAGTTTGCAAAGCTTTACCTTTTTATAACAGAAATATGATGTATTTTCCTAAATATTTTGCATCCTTTCCTAATATCAAATAATATAGAGCTTCCTTTTCTGTCTTTTACAAATATATAAAAGTCTATATTTGTGGTTGAACATTCATATAGATATTGAATACCTGAACGTGGAATTCTAAATCACAGCATACTCTAGTAGGTATGGCCAATAATACATTTATGAGTAATCATCTTGGATTTTTAATGCTCAGTTTGTCCACATGGATCACCACATTTCTACAACAGAAGTATTCAGTACAAAAATACTATCACTTAATACATATGATGTTAAAAATAAGGATCTTGAACCAAGTGTCATATTTCAGTTAGGAGTGAAAGTAGAATTCTAATAATATTTCTTGAGTAAATAAAAGGTTATCATTATATTACATGTCGTTATGTTTGACGCACCCTATTTTAAGTTTCAGAAAGTTGAAACACCATTACTTAATGGTATCAATTTTTTTTCTTTTAGCTGTTGTTACCTTTCAGTTTACTGGAATAATTTGAGAAATAGGGTTGACATCTTGCTAAGTTATTATTCAAAATGCGTGTTGTTCCTCTTTGTTTTTAGCATGTAGTGACCTGGAGTTCAGGGAAGTGGCAAACAGATTGCGGGACTGGTTCAAAGCCCTTCATGAGAGTGGACGCCAGATCAAGAAGACAAAGGCGTTGCTGAGACCTGAGAGAAGCAGTAAGATTTCTCTATTTCGTACGTGGTTTGTCTTCATGTGAGATTGTATTTCCACTGAGTCACTCAAATCGAAACAAATACTTCAAAGTTTATCCTTTACTTATAAGCTTAACAAAAATCAGAATATTGTTAATTCTTCACAGCACACCCAGAATATTTTGAAGGAAATAAAGCATTTGAAACAACTGGGATTGCTAAAAAAAAGAATGTTTCCTCAGAGACAGCATTTAACTTCTAGTTGAATCGAAATAGTTGGAATATTTCTCAGTATTTTAATGGTAAAGGGTAGAACAATACAGGAAATAAAGTTAAGAATTTTGAAGTACTTAGATTTTTAGAGAACCCTATTGAGTTCAAAATTTTAGCCTTTTCGTAATTGCTTTGAAGACATAATCTCACTCGACCCAGCCATATCTGTATGAGATGGATGAGCAGTTACGGATATTTTCGATAGCACACTGCAAATCAAATTCAGAAAACACAGATGAAAAAATGAGTCGTATGATTCTTTTATAATTATTTCATCATTTGTATAATTCTCCAAACTTTTTTTCCTAACTCTTTAGAAATAGAAATACAAATTGAAATAGAGCACTTGATATGAATGGTCTTAACGAATTTTTCATCTTATTTTAATTTGTAGAAAAATAAGTTGAATGTTGAAATATGGGCTAAATTTTAGGAAGCTTTTGAAGATTGAAGGGGTTGCTCTAAAATGCAAGAAGAGGGATTGGGGCAGCAATTACGAGCTGTATCTCATAACTGACAAGGTTCGTTCCAGTTACAGCAACCTTCCTTGCTCCTGGTGATGTGATCCGTCCACTCCCTTGTAATCCTCAAAGAGCACTTGATAAGGAAGTCACATCGTAAAGTGACACTGTCTCCATAATCCCTATTTCCTAAAATGCCTTCCTTTCTTCTCCTGAAGGAGTTTTCTATAATCACAATTTTTTTCCTATCGTGAATTTTATTTATGTTCTTAAATCCTTTAATACAAGGAGAAATTAAGCCATCACCTTTAGGCATAGTCATTGTCTTGGAAAGTGTACTGTCTGTGCATAGGTGTTGTTTCTTAATTAATTTTGGAAAGGAATGATGTCATATTTTCCTTACTCTGTGGGACTGTTTCTCACGTTTCTCTTCAGAATTGTTGACTTAATATTTGGCAGGTTTTCTTTATTTTATATAATCTTATTTAACAGGAACAGTAAGTATATTTGCCACTGGGTTCATGAAGGAAAAATATCTGGGTGAGGACAGGGCTTCTTCTAGGCTCTTACATTTTGATTTGTTTTGTGGTACCGGTTTGTTTATTTAATTTATATTCACCCCCTGTCCTACTAGTGCCCATTTCTGAGCATTTTTATTGCTTGCTCTCAAATTTCTGGTCTGAGCTTGAGCACAGGCTAACCGTTTGGAGATGAACAACAGGAAAGCTTGTAGAACGCTCGGCACGGTGCCTGGCTAACTGTACACATTCATGAAACATTATTTCTCTTTCCAACTTTTTTTTTTTTTTTTGCAATGAATGCCATGAGACTCTCTTAAGTAAGAGAGTGGGTTAATTCCAACAAGATCCTTGGCAGTTGAGTATCTTTGGAGAGCAAAGGAAAAACAGGCCACAGAATTGTTTATGGTGCTTGGAGGATTCAGAGGCCAAGAGGAGTAAATTCCCAGAAGGAAGTTATTCATGAAAAGAGATAAGACAAATGACTAGAATAGAAATGACTGGCTTAGTCAAATCTTCTGATATTTTCACCCGCTGAAGGAGTCCTTCCCTGACTTCATCATATTTAATTTATAAACAACCCTCTAGCATCATACTGTCTCTGTTCTCTTCTTTATTTTTCCTCCATAGTATTTATCACTATCTAACGTACCATGGTTACGAGCTCGGCTGCTAACCACAAACGTTGGCAGTTCAAATCCACTAGGCGCTGTTTGGAAACCCTATGGGGCAGTTCTCCTCTGCCCTAAAGGGTCGATATGAGTCAGAATCGACTCGATGGCACCAGGTTTGGTTTTGGTTTGTAACATACTATATACTCTACTTATTTATTTAATTTGTTTTCTCTCCCCACTAGACCACTGCAAACTCAGCAAAAGCAGAAATCATTATTTACCACTGTATCCCCAGAGCCTAGAGTAGAATTTTGATGCATAATATTCACTAAATAAAAATGAGTGAAATAAATTAATGAAGCAAAGAAGCAATATGTTATGACTGTAAAATACTCCATTGTGTGGAGTAATTTACTCAGTTATTCCCCTAGGAATTATAATTTACTGTTTCCATTTTTTTCTCCATGAAAAACAATGCTATAGTCAATTTTGTATGATTTCGTTTCTATGAGAAATATTCCAAGCAATGTAATTTTTCAAAATACACATGCATTTTACATTATAAATGTTAACATATGTTGCTTTGCAAAAAGCATAGGACATTTCAAATTTCCACCAACAAGGCACCAGAGTGAATTTTTATCTGCCTCAGTGCCAGCATAAAGTATTACCATTATATTTATTTTTTCCATTCTCTTATATATCCTTGTTAATTTTACTTGCATTTATTTTTTTTCTAGTGAGTTTGAACATATATTATTGCGGGAAAAAACTTTTTTATGGCTAAAAACAAAACCATATCTAGTTCTCTGTTTAATCCTGGAAAAGGCACATTGATGGCTGGCCTGCAAATTACATTTAATGAGGTTGGCATCCTTGATAATTTTTGCTTTATGTCTTAGCTCTTCTGTTTTTGAGAATATACAGATGTATATTTTTTATGCATTATTAAATTATGCATCTTATCATTTTATTAGGGAGCTCTGGTGGCACAGCGGTTAAGTGCTCTGCTCCTAACTAAAAGGTTGGTGGTTTGAACCCACCAGCCACTCCCTGGGAGAAAGATGTGGCAGTCAGCTTCTGTAAAGATTACAGCCTCGGGAACCCCATGGGGAACTTCTCCTCTGTCCAATAGGGTGGCTGTGAGTCGGAATTGATTCCCACTGCAAAGGGTTTTGTTTTGTTAATAGTAACTTACCACTCCTACTTTCAATTTTATTACATTTTCGTGATACCCTTACTCACATTTTATTTTCAGTCTTTCTTGATCACTTCAGCTTAAGTGTCTTTCTTGTAAATATCCACAGTTAGGTTTGGATTTTTATTTCAAGATGACAGTCTGAGGTATTTAGTGATATAATTCAATTCAGCCCATTCACATCTAACGCACTGACAGATACACTGGATTTTAATCAATCAGTATTGTTTTGTATATTGTTTTATATTGTTATATTTTATATTGTTATTTCTTTTTTCTTTACTTTTTATGTCTCAATTATGTTGCTTTTCATTCCATTTGAATTATGTGTTATACTCTACTTTTGTGTTTTATTTATTACCTTTCTTTGTGTACACAATCTGACACAGTTCTTTTACTATTATTGGAAAAGAAGATGTCTAGTGGTTCTTCTGTGGGGACACTCTTTTTCACTAACCAACTTATTCTTATCCCCCAGAACACTCACCTCCAACACAATAAAATGAGGTCTGATAAGTTATTCACTCTCTAACTTTTTACCTTTCCCTCCACTCTACTTAAATGATGTTTTTGGAAAAAAAATTTTTGTTCTCTTCTTCTCCAAATGCTTTGGCTGAACTAATTTAGTGACTCTGGAATTTCCCTTCCAAAATGTCTCTTTTTCCAAAGTTATCTGTTACTTATATATCACTTCCTCAAGTAACCTAACCTTATCTATTTAGATTTAATTATGAAAATTACATGTTAAATTGAATTATTTATATAATATGTACTTTATACATAAGGAGCCCTGGTGGCACCATGGTTAAAGTCCTCGGCTGCTCACCACAAGGTCTGCGGTTGGAACTCACCCATTGCTCCGTGGGAGAAAGATGTGGCAGTCTGTTTCCGTAAAGATTTACAGCCTTGGAAACCCTATGGGGCAGTTCTACTCTGTCCTATAGGTTCACTATGAGTTGAAATGGATTTGATGGCAGTGGGTTTGATTTGGTTTAATTTATATATACATGTTGTTAGTTCCTGTTGAGTAAACGCCAAATCACGGTGATCTATCAAGTCTTATGTATAATATACATAATTGATATATAGTGTGTATATATTTATTAGTAACCATTGTTCCCTCTCATTTGCATTGTCTGCCATAGAATATCTCTATTTTTATTTCATTTAATATTTAGTTAATCTTTTCTCAGGTATTTAATTTTTAAATAGTTTATCAGTAAGGAATATTCTTTTATTTTTCTTTTTCCTTTTGTGCTTTGAAAAATGCATTTTTTCTTCCAGGATATTAGTGAGTACACCCCATAGCGCTCTCGCCGTCCAACGTGTGAGATTCCCTAACAAGGAGTCACTAAAACTCTGGATCTAAATACAGCGAAACCTGTTGGAGCTGGAACTCGATGGGACTGCCTTGTTTTTCTGGGTCTTGAAAGTTTTCCGCCTTTGACAGGGTGTGGTCTTACCACTTTTCTATCTCTCCTTTTAGTGGAAAATACTTGAATTTTCCTTCTGACAGGTTTCTGCCTCACACAGGTTCCAAGTTTCACAAGTTTTACTGTATAAACGATCAGACTGTTAAGAAACAATATGAGGCTCTGTTGTAAGCCTTTTATTTGATTCACTGTCTTTTTTTTTATGATTTTGGCTATATTTTGGTATATTTCTTGTCCTTGATTGTCCAAGACACTAATTTGTCAACAGTGGCAAACTATTTCTGCAGTTCATCCATAGGATTTAGTTAGGAATTATGTTTTTCAGCTCCAAAAATTATTTCTACATACTTTTTATGTGTGTGCTCTTAAATGTTCAAGTGTGTGTGTGTGTATCTTAAATGCAATTTGTAGACTGTCTACCCCTTCTTCTTAATTTCATTCAGCCTATAACTGATTTTTTTCTTCCTCTCTCTGACTACTGGGTCTCTCTAGATAATGTGGTAGTTTTTCCTTGTCTCCTTATTGGG